GGTACTCAGAAACCGCTGTTGGGTGTACTAAGTCCAGGATAGAAGAGAAACGCCAAGGAGAATAATGTTTACTCACATCCACACTCAGGATCCCTTCTCTTCCTTAAGGCTTAGTCCCGAGAACACACTTGAATGCCCCCCCCCTCCCTGACGACATTAATACCTTTATTTTCTTAAACTGTACACAATATTGGAAACAGCGTTGATCGACTAACTTTTCGAATGATGAGTCTACTTCCTGAAAGCATGAAGACCGGCTCAGAAATCGAAGGCTGATCGCCCTACAAGATCTCTGTGACCAGTCAGGATAGTGCTCACGATTCACTTTCGAATGATTGGTGCAGAATGCAGCGAGATTCAGCAAAATCATCTACTCTTCTGAAACGTTAGCCATGAATGCACCTAATCAATCGTAAATTAATGAGCGGATGAAGTGTCGTAGCTTTCTAGATCCAAAAAATGAGTTCATGAGGACGACCAGTTTCTGAACTGATCACGCTGAGAGTTTCGGTGAAGGGCTGCCCAAACACAGGGAATTCATTTCTGCGTATAAGGACAGAAGCTCATTTCGGATTGCTGACTTGAATCCAGAATGTCTCGGGGTCTAAATATGCAAATTATGCGGGGATCAGCTGGTCTTGAAGAACCCGTAGGGTAACAAGATATTTATTCGGATTACTCGTGAGTTGATTCTTCTGTTTGGGTTTTGAAGGAAGCAAAAGAATTTTTTCGCCTATTTCTCCTAACGGCCTAATACTACTTCTTGTATTTTCCTACAGTTGTGGATGAAACGTCTCGAATGCAGTGCTAGCCATAAAGCGTCGTCATTTTCGACGTCCAGTTACCTTGAAATGGACGGAGAAGTCTATGGGTTGTGCATAAACACTGACGACCAGGTATCAATAGCAGTACTTTCAGATCTATGCGGGAGCACTTTCACACATTAATTTGTAGAAAACATTGAAATGCTCTCATTACTTTTTCAGGTGGCTGGAACATCTGACAGTGGGGTAGTTTATGTCCGTGACGGTGTCTCTTCCACTGAACCAGCTGGGAAAAGTTTTGTACGACTCATCGAGAGAACCACCTCGGAAACTCAAAAATGGGCCATGGTTTGTTGCATGGGGCTTATAAAGCGCGTTTCTTAACAAACTCCGTCGAGTGTGAAAACAGTGATTTTCAAGGTTGCGAACGGCGGTGCTCGTTACACTAGCTTACCTAAGCATTGGATCAATGACCATGTAGTTGTGGTTAGCACCGGTAGCTTCCGTTATACCAGCTGGCGAAAGCAGGTCAGGTTTCTGTGGTGTTTTTTCTTAATAATGGTTTGGTACCTATTAACTTTTCAGATTTTGAAAGACCTCTGTACTGTGAATGAAGCCAATTGGGAAGCACTAAGATCCACTGGAAATGATCTCGAGGTTTTCAATATCCCTGTTCAAAGTTTTCCATAAAATGAATATGTCGTGGAATTAAGGAACTAATGGAGGAAGCGCAAGAGCCGGACTCCTGGAATCGCAAGTGCCCAGCAAAAATGAAACGTCAAGGAATACAACGATTCCAGAATGGTGTCGTATTTCTCAGCCCACATCAATTGATGTTCCAGCCGAGCACAGAAAACGCTGTTATAAAATCCTTGACAGAGGTGTGTAATTTTTTGAACGAACGTCATAGTCCCACTTACTGCATTTCTGGTGCTTTGTCTGGCTATAATTGTGGCGTAGTAAAAATCTTTTGAGCAAATGAGCGTTTCAGCTAATATCCGCCATTTGCGATATGGACGTGACCGCATCTCTATTTACGATCTTGCTGAAGTTCGTGTCGCCGACCTTTTCGGAAGAACTTGAAATCGGATTTCCCGAAGAGTCCGAACGTGATATTTGGCACGAGTTACTGCAGCAGGTAGAGATTACTTGTATGTATATAGTTATGTAACTGGGAAGCAGGTCAGCCATATTGATAAGTGTTGAAGATAGAAGGGTCACCGCTTTTTTCGGAAAGCTACTCTGTAAG